TAATTTTTGAAAGCATGTAATTTTTATCATATCAGCCTATTTTCTTCTTTTCAATTACGAAACACAAAACAGATTGTTGCATCTTTCTTAGCTGTACAAACTGATGAAAGCTTGCACGTTCAAGAATTCGATTGTTACCAAGTATTTGTTATCACCTTGATAATTTATCGCAAAATGGTTAGAATAATTTTAATATTTATCATTCTAGCAATTTTAAAAAGGAAAAATTCAACTAATTTAAGAGGGAGATTTTTTATTTAAAAGAGAAATATATTATAACTGTTGTCATAAAAAGTTTATTTCTACTAAATTTTCTCGAATTTACATTAAATTTCTCCTTTTCAATCGAAATAGATCATATTTTTCAGCTCTAAAAGTTTAAATTTACAACTTTATCCATGAAAATCACCAATATTTGGCTGTATTGTTTCACTTTTTATGCAGAGAAATTGTAAACATAGAGCTGAGATAACACTTAAGATTCCGACAAAGTATTTATTTATTATAAAAAATTCAAATACGATTAATTACAAGGGTTAATCATTTATATATATGTCAAATACGATTAACCATTTATATATACAACTAATAATGAATACTGGAAAAAATTTTTAATTTGCACTAAAAAAAACAACTAAAATCTAATTTGTAAAATAAAATTTACAGATTATAGTAAAATTTACAGATAGCAAAAAAAAATCACAGAATAGATATCAGAATAATTCTTTTTTGTAGGATTTGTATTATTCGCATTTTTTCATTTCGAATTTATTTGTGATTTCATTTTAACTGAAAAATAATAGTAGAAATAACCAATCTTAAGAATAGCTAATGCAAAACAAAAAATGATGAATTGTTTTTTGGATCACTACTAGCTACTAATTTAAAATTTATGTACATTTGCAAGGTTTAATCCAAATTTAAACTTTTTTTTTGTCTGAAATGAAAACATACAATTTTTGAGTCTCATTGATTGCTTTAACTGTTGATTGGATTTCCGAAGTTGAAGATACGCTCATTTCTGAAACTGTAGTCAAATGAAAAATTCACCGCAGTATGCAACAAAAAAAAAGATGGCAATCTATCTAATATCGCTTCATTTAGAAATAATTATATTTTCTAGAAAATTTCATTTTTTCATATCAAAGAGTGATCACAAAAAATTTTTCATTTTTTTCATATTTTTTCATTTGAATTCATTTCATCCTGAAAATAACCATTTTCGTTACTTTCATTATAATTTTCTTCTTATCTTGATTAACTAAATATGCTTAGATCAAATGATTTAATAAAGATCCGAACAATTTGATCATGATTGGTTTGATTACTGGATTATTCTATCGCTAATACTAAACATGTTTATACTTTTGTCTCGTCAACCACTGTTATTCGTTTTCTATTAATTACGGTAGTGTATCATTTTGTCATTTGAATTAAGCCAGTTAATTAAGAAAAGGAGTTAATTGTCAGCTTTATCTGATCTTAATTTAATTTTTATTTTCTCTGCCTTAATTATTATTCACAGATAATGCATATGTGTTTATTATACAAAATGACTAGAACTTTTTAGCTTTATATAAACTGAAATATAGTACCAAGTAGTAATAATGCGTTAAAAATAAATCATTTCATTCATTCATTAATTCATCTATGCACTAATTCACTCAATCCTTCAAAAAAAAAAAAAAAAAAGCATATATAACTCGCGAGTGAAATCTAATTTCAAATTTAAAATAAATTAATTCATTTAATTAAATTAAGTTGCAAAAAATCAGAATAACATTCACAGAAAGGCTTTCACTTTTGTAGTGTTAATCTACATATATTTCTTCTTTTTCTTTATCCTCCAAACATTCAAATCAATCATATCCGCTGACCCAGAAATAAAATTAGTTTTGTTTCTCTCCACTTCCCAAAAAAAAGAAACTTATTGCTTAATTAGGACATTATTACTAACAATCAGAATCAAACTATATTTTCTCTCTTATCCATTTTTTTCATATAGCAATGACACAAATGATGCTTGCTCTTGTTAAAATGAATAAAAGATAAATAACAACGGTTTGTTCAGAAATTGTTTAGTAATCATTATCATAATTGATCCCAATTCATAAAACATATCCCACAAGCAATTCCTATCCCTCCTCAAAGTTCAATCACCTTTTGACTCAAACCATCAGTCTTCAAATGTTAAAATACCGTAATCCTCTCATAATTTGAATGATAACCTTTTTTTAAATGCCTCAAATACATTTAAAATACTTAGTGTTGAATAAATTAATATATTCTCACCGTGTTTAAGCTGAAATGAGTTGCCTCATACAATTAATAAAAAGTTTTGAGAAATTTTAATTTAAGTCTGATGGATTATTTCTCTCTTCATAATTTTTATGTTTTTTTTTTTTTTTTTTCATCGTTTTTCATTTCTTATTCAATTCTGCGTAAGATTAGTTGAATTAGACCAGAAGCAAAGTTAACTTAAGCTAGAAATAGGCAGCTTATACCACAGTCTAGCCTTAGCCTAAAGTATTTTCAGCATTTCTTACTAAAGAATAAATTAAGCAGAATAAATCAGTGCATAACACTTTATGCGTCACTGTTAAATTCTTACCGTTTTGAATATGAAAAATTTTAGTAATTAGTAAAAATAAACAAAGAGTTGAAATAACCATTGTTATAGTCAAATTAAAAATCGAAATTTCAAATTTAAATGAAGTTTATGAAACTCATACAGCTAACCTTTATTACATTCTACAATGCCAACTGGTATTTCAATTTTTTCATCAGGATATGTTGCTCTTATAGCTTCCACAAAATCTCCATATTTCATTTTATCTGCTTGCCACTTTGTGAAAAAAAAAGCAAAAGAAATCAAAAAAGTTCGTTTAAAAACATTATATTATTGAAGAAATAAAATTAACTCCGATAAAAAAGAATAAATTATATAATTTCTTCCTTTTCTTACTTGAAAAAATGGTATATTTATTTCTATCATGAAAAAATTTGCATGCATCCTTTATTGATAAACTTATATAGGCATCATTTATCAATAAGCTTACGATTCAATAATGCATTCAATGCCTTTTAGTAATAGGCACTTAGAACTGAAATTTTTTCAAAGACTACTTTTCAAATAAATATTCGCAATAAAATTTTTAGTTTAATTTCATTTCATTGTTTTTTTTTTTTTATTTTTTATTTTCCTGACTTTAATTGTACAAAATTCTATTAAAAATATTGCATTAAATATTAAAATACAAAGAAAACACTGTTTTATTGCAATACTTTCATAAATGAATCAAACTTCATGCAATCATTTTATCTTGGTTTAACAATTTCGTTTAAATTCAAAGATTTTTGCAAATTCATTGCAATTAATAAAATTGCTTTTTTATAAGAAATTTATAAGATAAAAAAAGCAACAAAACTTTTGAAATGAGAGACGGCAAACAAAAAAGTGAAAATAATGAATTCATACTAATTTAAGTTTTAGAATCATTTGATATACAAATAAGTATATGTATTTATTCAAAGAACTTTGAAATATTAACAATTATTTTCTGACTTACTTTTCTCAATATATTCCTTTCCATAAAGTAATCTCAATTGAATTTTCTCCCACTCAATTTTTTTCAACCACTTTTTTATTAGTATGTAAAGTGAAAAAAGTACGAAACAACCAAATAGTTCATTAAAAAAAAAAAAAAAAAAATTTTTTAAATCTTTTTTAATCAACACTTTCAAAAATCTTCAATACCTTTCTACTTCTCCTTTTTTTTTCTTTTTTAGATAAAATTAGTTTGCTTTTTTTTTCCATTTTCTTCGTCCTCCTTTTCATTCGAAGTTGACAGACATATATTTTACATTTTTATTATCTCTTCATCAATCATCATCTATTCGTTTTAATTTACTCTATGTTAAATCATATGCAATGAATTACACCTATCACTGAAGGTGCTAATAGTTGTAGATGTTTTTTCAATGTTACCTATATTACTGCCTACGGCATTATCAAATAAGGTAACTTATAAACTAATGACTTAATGATTTTCTAAGCTTGCTTACAATTCGTATGTACTACACTTATGCTTTTAATTTTCACAACGTATTTAGATGTTTGTGACAGACATATATATGTAACATTGCATTGGTGTCACATGACGTTATTTTGCAAGTGAAATTTCTGGAGGATTAATTTTCATCTATTTAATTGCTAATTTTTGTACACGCTCATATTTTTTGACTTAAAAATTGAACTGTAATTATGAAATTAATTCTAGATGAATATTGCATTAATTAGGTTTAATACAAAATATTTAGAACTTATTCAAAATTTATTAAGTTTTAAATTATTCGAAAAATACTTATAAACTAACATATAATATTAGCTAAACTTTTCGTTTTTGTGTATTATGAAGTTTTTTTTCCTTGCTTATTTTACTTATTTTTTATTTTTGCATGCATAAAAAAGTCAGATAAAAAATATACCAAATGATAAGTGTTATTCGATAACTTAATTATTATTAAAGTACGGTAGTTCATTTTGACCAGATTTTCGCATTTCAAATTATCAGTTCTTCTTTAAGAAAAACAAAAGTAAAAAGAATATAGAAAATAAAAAAGCAAAATAAAATTCGTTTAAATAACGCTTAGCAGAAGCTAATTAAACATTATTCAAAGTCATCATTCCATCTTCTTCCCGTAACATTAACAAATCAAATAATCAGTAATATTGTCTATTTTTTTTTTAAATCCCTAATTAAATTTCTCTTCATTCCCTGTTAAAAATTATTGACACTAACCGATAACGAATGCATATTAATATTTGGTTTATGCATAATAAGATACTATAGTTAAATAATATTTGTATATTTCGTCAACTTTTTTTATTTTCAGAAATTTTCTTTTTTTTGGATGCATTAATATTTCGAGGTTTTTTTTTTATAGTACTTTTCATTACGTTAGAAAAAGATTTAAAGCTAATTTAAATGTTCCTGAAATTAATCAAGAAAACAAACATTTCGATATTCTTTCATTAACTTGCGATGAGCAAACCAATTAGCACAACATAGCCAAGGATACTGCCAAATTTTTATTCCAACTTGTCTTGGAGCCATTTGAAATTCATCGATTGCCAGTGTTTTAATTTCCTCTGCTACCTTCAAATTTTTAGCATGGCTAATTTTGTTTTTTTTTTTGTTTTTCGTTTTTTTATTTGAATCATTGTCATTTATACAAATTTAATCAATGAATGGTTCATTTTGATCTGACAATAGCATCAACTACTTTCAATCATTTTGAAATTGGAATAATCTGTTAGCAGTCTTTGACAAATTTGACTTTTTAAATTCGATGAGACATAATTAAATATTCAGTTATTCAAACCATTTCTAACGCTGAAAAATATCTAACGAATGAAACATTAATTTTTTTTTTGAAAATAACTTTTTGAAATAACTTAACAACTGTAGTTGTTGTAAGGAGTTTTTTTAGAAAAAAGTTAAAAATACTGATTCAATTTTTTCTTTTGGTTAATCTTTTACTTACACCCAAGTACAATATCATATTCTTTTAGTGATAAAAAAGCTGATATGAATTAACATTGTTATTATCATTACTATTATTATTATTATTATTATTATTATAAGCAAAAGCAATTGTTAGGTTAATTGAAAAATAAATTTAAAAAAAAAAATATTTCTCTTTTGTGGAAGTTTCAAGCATACATTAAAAACACATTCGAATCAGAAAAAATGATTTAAAAAAATTACAAATACTTAAAAATGGTCGAATTGCTTATGACGGACAAATGTTATTAAAATTATTACAAAATGAAAATTGCATTAAAATTTTCGTTTCTTTTCATTCAGTTAATTTGGGAGAGACAGAGGAGGACGGAGAGATGAGAGAAAAAATTGAATTGAGATTGAAATTTATGGATTTAACTATCAGTTAGTTGATTATGCAATAAACTATTAAATCAACTAAACTAAAACTAAACTAAAAAGCTATTCGTTATTTATGTGAAATTAAATAAATTATGGACAAATAAAAATGCACAGAAAAGTTGAAAGAAAAATTACTTCAATGAGTAATTTTTCTTTTAACGAATAATTATTGTAGCTACGATAAATAATTAGAAAATATAAAATATCATTAAGTGCTACTGCATCTTGAAGTAAACATAATAATCGTTATTAAATTTCAATATTTGATATGTTATAAATAAAAAAGATGGTTAATTCAAGCGAACGATTATAATTAAAAAGAAGTATTAAATTATTCAAATGTGTATTAAGTGAAAATATATCAATATGGTAACTAATAGCTAACGATAATTCCCATAAAAATTAAATATTTGATATAAATGTTTTACTGCTACCATTAGAATTTCTAGTTAAACAAATCTCCGATTTAATTCGAAACTTAAATACCTATGAAATTTTTTGTAACTAGATACTAATGCATCGTAATAAATCAATTGTGAACAATTTCGTATCATTTAATTCGTAATAATAAGTTCACACAATTCGTTTGATAGTGCTTACCTCACATAACTGATCTAGCAATGATCATTTCATGTAGCTTATTTGCTAGCGGTCACTCTATTGAACTGATTTAGCAATGATCATTTCATGTAGCTTATTTGCTAGCGGTCACTCTATTGAACTCATCTAATAATGATTATTTCATGTAGCTTATTTGCTAGCGGTCACTCTATTGAACTGATTTAGCAATGATCATTTCATGTAGCTTATTTGCTAGCGGTCACTCTATTGAACTCATCTAATAATGATTATTTCATGCATTTATTGCGTTAATTACTTTCTTTCAATTTTATGGCTCAATATTATAATTCTTATGTTATCACTATCAAGAAACCCTGGAGAAATTGTTGTAAAAACATTACGCTCTGCGCAAATCTTTCATCAGTTTCTTCAGTATCATGATCGATCGATATTTGCAAAGTTCCTTCAGATTGTTGTACTATTGGCTATAATGTTCATTTTTAAGAATTTAATATTCCTCAACAAAAATTCTTATGCGTTATTTAACCCAGTGATTTATGCATTTATTATCAGCTTGATAAATTTTCGTAGTCTTTAAAATCTATGAAAAGAAATTTTAAAAAAAGTTATTGAGATAGAATTTAACTCACAAAGTTAATGCTAATTTTTAGCATAGTAATAATAATTAGGCATTTTTCTGATGGTTTGTATTCTAATTGCTTTAACATAGAACCGATAATAAATAAATTTTGACTTCCTTTCTTTACTACCTTTTATATTTGAGTAGAATTTTAAAAATTGAGGAAACAAGCCTTTCCATCTTTTTCAGTTTTCACAAGAAGTCGTTTTCGTTTCGGTTTTTTCTTAATTTTAAGCCATTTTTGTTCTTCCGCTTCGTTCTTAAGCAAATAGCTTAGTTAGTTATAGCATACTGTATTTGTGATACAAAAATCTTTTATTAATAGCTTTCTTTGAAATTTTCTAATAAATTTTAATTACTTTAAATCAACTTTTCTTGACTTTGTATTCAAATCATTCATTCTTCTCTCTCTTTCATCTTTACCTTATACCATACCTATCGTTTTTATCAGTCATATGAATGATAAAAATTAGAACTTTTTCAATGTTATTCTGTTGTTTTGCTTCATTCGTGGTATGCTCTATTTGCGTCTGCTCTAAATAGCTTGACATTTGTGTTTCCATCTCATGCATCGTCATCACCATCGATCGTTCAACCAATTTCGCTATTCATTTTATAATTGATCATTAAATTATTACAGTTAATTAAAAATTTAACATAGCTTATATGATTATAAACAGTAAGAACAAAAGCAACAACGAAAATAATACTAGGCTTAAAAAAAAACTTTCCAAAGAAAAGAATAAATAAATAAGTTAAAAAAACGAAGTGGAATATGATTAAACACGCAATAAGAAAGTCAACAAAAAGTACAACTGTTAATTAGCATACTTATTTTAAGTCATACATAAGAGAATGAATGAAAAAATAAAAGAAAAAAACTGATCATATAAATAATTGAACAATGAGTAATTTAAGAAGATAGTTTTTTTTCCTTCATTTTTTTTTAAAACAAATGCATTATAAATTTCATTTCAAATTTCTTCAATAAGTACAATTGTTGTTTTCGTTATTTTTTTTCTTTGTTTTCAAGTATAAATGCATTTCAAACAAGTGAATTTATCATTTTATCATTGTAAAAACAATGAATATCTGAATAGAATAAAAACGAAAATTGTAGAAACAAACCGTTCAGCTGAATTGTAATTTTTTAAAATGAGCAAATTATCTAAAATTTAATTTTTTACTTCCCTTTTTTTTGCCATTATTTATACCATTCCTAATGATCGTTCGTTTTCAAATAAGTGGCAAAATGCTTAAATTAAACAAAACATTCAATGAATATTTGACCATATGTAAACGTTTCATAATCTTCTAGTATACGCACGTCTATATCTCATTAAGAATTAACATATTATATGGAAATAAACTAAGCTAATAATGCTTATTATTTTGTTAAGAAACGATTTGTTTAATTTCATTTCATTGTTTGTCAATCATTTACTATTTGATAATTATGAATTTGAAAAGAATTATAGGAAACAAAATAATATTGATTCATTTAACTGTTTTTTGTTAAGTTTAACTGTATATGCCTAATTTTAATAATTTTAATGATTAATCCAGTAATCAAATGAATAAAGAGAGGTTTGAATATTCAAAGTTATAATTTTACAAAATTTTTCTAAATTATTTCATCACTTTTTGTTAAATAATTTATAAGCATTCTATTTAATAAAATAGATAAATTTATTTAGATAGTGTTATAGTGCATTCTTCCTCATTAGTCTGAAGAAATAGTTGTTATAATAAAGTATTAATTTTGTATAAATATAAATTGCAATCAGAAATCTTTTTGCAATTTTCACATATTTTCCAGAATTGGATTTGATCATTTTATTACATTTGGAAGATGACGTAAGCCATTTTGCATAGTAATTTGTTATACACCTACTAGGAATGTAACTTGTTTTGGCCAAGCAGAAAAAGGACTAGAAATAGGAAGAAAAAAAGAGAGAGGAAAAGAGAAAAAGTGAGACAAATAAGGTTGTGTTTTGAATAGGTAACACTGACGCATGTTAGTTACTTATATATGTTAGTTTTAGCTATAGTTTAACTGCAACTCTGATAATCTTTCCTTCTTCATTTTCCTTTTTTTTTTCAAAAAAAAAAAAATGTATGTTATTGTAGGTTAGGCTGCATTACAATTATGCAAGTCTTGCATTAATTACATTGTTACATATTATATTTGTAAATGAAAAAAAGAAAAAAATGAGTTGAAATTGTTCAATACTTTTCTTTTTTAATCAAATATTTGGATGTAACTGAAAGTGAATTTTTTTTTTTTTTTTTGATTTCAATATTTAACTTTTTTAATGCAGTGATTTCTCATCTTTTCATTACTATATTATTAATCATTCATTACAACAAAGTCTAGCTAATTCTTCTATCAATTTGAAATTTTTTCATTTTTCATTGATAACTCTATGACAGAGAATTGATAATGATCTATGATGACAAGAATTAATAATATTAGATGATATGTGTTGGAAAGTTTTTCTTTTCTTGGCGAATTGACATGATTATTTTTCTGTCGTTAAGGGATGGTGAAAAGAATGTGGAAGTTAAATTAGATCAGAAGGAAGAGGTCTTTCGGAAAGTTGCATAGTCAGAGAAGTGCTAATATTTAATAAAATACTTTTAAGAAATTTTGAAAATGCCAGCAAAAAGAAAGAAGATAAAGTGATCTTATGCTAAATTCTTAATTGTAGTGAAATATAAAATACAACTAAAAATGCATTCATATTAGAAATGGCAGAGATTAAAAAATTTTAATTTATATTAAATTAATTTAATATTAAAATTGATAATTTCAAGTGAATTTCCTAACTTAAACAAATTAAAACGAAGTTACTATATCATTGGAACTAATCGGATATCAAATACAATGAAAGTTTTAATCAATAAGCATATCACCATAGCACTTGCAATTCAGTGTTCAATTCTTTTTAGCCAATTAGGAAAGCAAAATATACAATAATTATGTTACTGTATTGTCTAAGGCTGAATAATTATTAAATTAAAATAAGCTAAGAACTAGCAAAAAAATAATAAACATAAAGAAATGATGATAAAACCATAGTTATCCATCCACTGAACAATAATTTTCCAAATTATATTTGAAAGGAAAACTTTTCTATATATTTTTCTTTACTACATACGAATATAAAATAATATTTGATATGGTATATTAACTATATTAACTTTTCTGTTTTTTTTTTGGTAGCAATAGTTAAAATTTTGGTTAAATTAACGACGTATGAGATTTTAAATAAATAAATGAAAAAATATTGAAATTCAATGCTATAGAAAAATTATAAATATATGAAACTTTTTTTTTTTTTTTTTTTTTTTTGATTGAAAAAATTTTTAAACAAAAATATGAAGGATAAGTTAAAATGATAAAAGAAAAATTATTGTAAAATATTTAAAGAAAAAAATTAAATCTTACTTACTGAATATAATTTTTTATATTTTTTTCTTGCATTTATTATACATTTAAAAAATTATTATGTATAGGATAATAAAAATTTTGAAATAATTAATTTTCACAGTTTTACATAAACAATGCAATAAGACTATCGTCGAAAAATATGTAAATGATATCGTTGGAAAAAACGAAGTAAGTAAAATAATGACTGTAAAATAATAATATTTTCATAAGCATAATGAATTTATTTTAATTTTTTGAGCATATTAAATAATTAATATCGAATTAGAATGAACTGAATAATACAGTTATTTACAATGAATGAATTGTCTTCTTCAAAATAGTAACTAAATATATAATTTGAATAGAAAATCAGAATTACTGTTTCAGTTATATCAACCTTTTAGTTAATGCTCATTTTCACTCTTTAAATTTTTTAATTTTTACATAAATCAAAAAATAAAATAAAATTTAGAAAAATAGCTAAAATGTAATTTATATTTCATAATATCTATGTGGATTTTTTTTTTTTTTTTTTGCTATTTTGCTTTATTTAAACTCTTTTTTTCTTATCGACTTGAAAAATAAAAATAATGTAATATAAGTATTATGCTTTAAATTTTCATTTTATTAAAATATAATTTAACCCAACTGATATTACTAAAATATAATTTAGCTTAATTGATATTACTAACTACTGAAATTAATCTACACTTGTCAACAACACTAACTAGCTTATTTATCAGATATTTTACAACAAATGATTGCTACAGGAATTAATGATATCATCGATACTAATAGTATTTTGCGAGAAGAAACAAATCATTCAAATGATTACGTATTTATTTTGATACAGCCTAAGCATACTATATTTATTTTTAATTATAGTTATAGGTAAGTTAGATATCAAAAATATTTTGCAAATTTGTGGAAGAATGATAAATGATATAAGTCATAAGGAAGTAATTTGAATAATTGGAATAATTGCAATATGAGAAAAATTGTATTATAGCAATACGTATTTACCAATTTAAAACAAGAGTAAAATAAATGCAATTTATAAGTAATTTTCTCCATTTATATATCATTTGTAGATAGGTATTAGTAATTTTGCATGAATAAAAACAAAAAATTTTTCCTTATAGGAAAAAAGGAAAAATTAAAAATTTGATTACAATATTTTGAAAAATTTAACGAAAAAAAATTATTAGATTTCATTATGGTATAAATATATATTATAAAGATAAAGTTTGTCCTGCTTTTTTTTTCTTACTTTTATCTTCAAATGCTCATAAAGTAATGATTTACGAGGTAAAAAACTAAGATAAATTATATATATATATATATATATATATCACTTAGTTATATTATTATTATCATGATTTGAATCATGATTTCGTTATTCAAATCAATTAATTATAACTGTAAAGGGCTAATGTAGAATAAATTGCAGAAAAAATCAAATTTTCTTTATTTATGATATGTTGTTTTTGCATAATTTATTTCTCACTACTCAATCATGAAATTTTAATAAATTTACGTTTTAGTAAACAAGAAATAATTTTCACCACTTATGTTTGTGCAAAAACTTCATTTTAAATGATTGCTTTAAAATATTAGAATTGAGAAAGGGAGTAAAAGTAAAAATAAATTAATTGGTTAGTAACTGGATCCCATGTCAAAGGTCAGTCAATGCATATACGCTAAGGCATTATTTGGAGACATTTAGCGATAAATATTATGTTTTTCTCTTTAAAGCAATACTTATTATTTTTTGTTGGTATGTGTTTTCTTCTTTTTTTTACTTTTTCCGAAAAAAAAATGAAGACAATTTCATTTTAAATTTTTGAAAAAATTCTTAAAATCGTTTAAAAACTTAAAAAAGATAGTGAAGAAAAAAGGAAAAAAACCTTTTATCAAACAATCATTTTGCTCCAATTTAATTATTTTAAATTAAAGATTGAAAACAAAGATAGATTTGGTGAGAAAGATTTACGCAAATGTTAAGTTGCATGAAAAATGTAATTTAATATTTATGAATACAAAAAGTTGAAATTAAATATTACGACAACTTTGATATCAATCATATGCGGGCATGATCAAAATATACGAAATGAACGAATATGAAATTTCCGAAGTAAAATATTG